TTCCTTATGAGGAAAGGCACAAAGGTTTTGTATCTGCCACCCTTATTCTCCTTTGGATACTTCAGTCTGTGTACTTCCCTGGCAGTAGCTCAATGTATTTAATTATAATTTTACATTTGTGTATGTACATACATAATACACATGCACACAGGCAGAGAACTTTTCTTAATGAAAAGCGGGGTATAGTAGCGGAATGTACTGCAGCTAAGGCAACAAGTTACAACTAACAGCATGTACGTGGTGCCAGAGGGAGTATTTCTTGCGGAATCAAGCTTCCATTTTCAGGATACGTTGTTCTGGAATTGCAGGTAACATTAAGACATTTAAGTTTCCGTCTACATTTGTATAATATGTTATTTATGCCTAGTTATTAATAGGTATGTTGCCAAAAGTCCACTACTAACTTTCTGGTGCTAAACCACTTCAATGTTAGCTGACTTGCTTGCATCACAGTGACATAGTGAATGTCAATACAGGATGCCCAAAATGTGATAATGCCATATAACACTGAATATAGTTTATGTGTAGGTGATTGTATGTTAGACTTAAAGGGTTTTTTTCTGTCTGATATGCACAATGTTTGAAACTAGTTACTGTATGTTTACAAAAAACATGAAGAGTTCAAAGGAATGGATTTAATACACTGCTCTTCTGCATGGCAGTAAATACAAAAATCCAAATTTTCTGATATTGTTTTCACTGGAAGTTCCTTGGAGATTACTAATGCCTTGGCTGAATTTGGATTCTAAGTGAAGTCATAATAGAAACAGGTCCTCAGTGCAGTGAATGTGTGGCAGGCTTACATAAGAACAATGTGATTTGAATTTGGGATAGCAAGGACTCAGCCCAAAACTGGAAAACTCAACTGTTGAGTTGCTTAAGGAACCTGCTGAGCATTTGCCTTTGCTGTGTGACTCTAATTGGGAATGCCAGCGCTTTGTTTTTCAATACCATAATAAGGCAGACTGTTTGGAAAGTTAAAACCCTACAAAACATGGAGTGGATTTTCTTTTTTCACAGAGCACGTCTTGGTGTCGAACTAACCAAGTGCCCTTGCCTGATGCATTTAGATGCAGCTGAGGTGATGATGTCTGTTCCACCTGCAAGCTTCCCCGAACATAATATTCTGTGTTCTCCACGGATCCAGCACCTGTTGCCTTAGTGATAAAATGTATTGTAATATTCTTACAGTACTTAGGAGAGTTCCCACCTGTCTGAAGAAACAGCATTTTCTACCTGGCAGAGTTTACGCCTCTCTGTCTGTAAGATCTTCTTCCTAGTATCTTTTTATTCTTATTAGTGGCCACTCACATGCAATTTGCAGCCTTTTAGGGTTTTAGTTTTTAACATTTTGTAGGAAAAGTGTGACTTAAAGCACTGAACTTTAACTACTTCTGTGCAATAGATGAGGAGGTTTGAGCTGGCTTCTAGCTTTGGGAAGTACCCAAACATTAAGGTCTTTCAAGAGTTAATACTGTGCATGTGTTCTGATTTGTAATTAATTTATGTAACTGTACTTAACTGTGACATGTAATATTTAAAGTACCAACATGAACTGTTGTCAAAAAGGATTAATAAACAGAATAAATGCTAATCTTGGAATGATCTTCCAGTGCAATGGAATAGTTGCCGGGGGGGGTTGACCCTAGATAGCCCTTTGCTCACTCTTCACCCTTGACCCCAGAGTAGAAAGAGCAAAATGAGAAAACTCATGGGTTGAGATAAAAACAGTTTAATGTGTGAAGGAAATTGGAAGAAAAAAGCCAAAGTGTGCAATGCAAAGGTAATCCTCCCATGACCTCCCACAAGTAGGGCAGTAGTAATCCCCCCACCCTCCTCCAAAAAAAGAAGGCCCTCTCCTCAGCTTTTATGGCTGAGCAGGCATTGTATGACACAGAATATCCCTGCTGGCCAGTCGGTGTCAGGTGTGCAGGTTGTGCCCACTCCACGCTTTTTGCCCACCAGAGGGGGCAGAGCAGAAAAAACGAGAAGGTCTTGATGCTGTGCACACACTGCTCAGCAGTCGCCAGAACGCTGCTGCGCTACCAACACTGTTCCAGTCAACCCCAAAACATGGGCTGCTCTGAAGAAAGCTACCTCTGTCCCAGCCAGACTTAGTACGCTGGCTAATGTACACAGAAGCACAAAGGTCAAGTTTTATATCTTAACTCTTGGGAAGGGTTGCACTAACGATGATAAGACTGGAAAGATAAAAATCTGGATATAATTTTAGCTTCCAGAGTTTTGCTGATGAGCGAGATGGAGAATCTCACTTATCCCTGACAGCAGTAGACAGGCCTCAAACCAGCTCAAACAACAAAGTGTTAAGCAGAGAGACATTAATTACCGAGGAATGCTCAGCATCTTGTTAGCCTTTTTCAGCACAGAACTCTGTTCGTTTTCCTTCCACATTGCCAAGCATTCTTGGACTCTGCAGATAATTTTTTTAATTAGGCAAAGAAATATGTTGTGAAAAGCCTATCCTAATACTTTGAATACGGTTCTGAATTACAATGGGCAAATCCCATTAACTATGTCACCGTCTTCCACAGAAGATTTCAGTTATTTTAAAACTTAAAAAATCATCTGTAGAGCTTTCCAAGGAGCAAAGATCAATAAGGAGAGTGAACACAGTAGCTCTTACTCTCCAAGAGAAGGAAAGTTGTTTAGCCACTGCCCCAGCTTTGTTCTTTGATCCAGTATTAGCAATCCTGAGAAAAGCTGCTTTTTTGACCTCATGTTTAGGAGTGACAAAGCTTTATTTGTACTGTTTTGCTCAGTTGTTTTACATAAACTCCCAACCTAATGTGAACCCAAAAAATAATGCTGTTAATGCTGAAGTACTAAAGGCTCCCTCTGAAAGGATAAAACAGATACACATACGATGCTGTTAAGAATAAAAAAAAAAGTTTGTGTTTTGACTACGCACAGCATTTTCAATGTGCTTAAATTAATAATAGCTCCCCAAACTATTAAAAGTCTTTTTAAGTGTGAGCTGTAAATAAAAGTGTGAAAATGGGAGAAAACCGGTGAAAACAGTATTTGAAAATTTAAGAACTTGGAAACAATAAAGTGCTGCATAAAAACTGTCATTTCAAACTGATGTGCAACATTTATTAAAATGGTGAAAGTGCCTTCAGTATTGGACCAGACAAACCACAGATAATCCCCATATGATGTACAGTCCAAAACAGATGGAGAGTTCATAGCCTTCAAGGGAAAGAAGAGGAAAGACCACTGAGGGAGCCTGCCACATAGAAGTGAAGTTTAGGAGAGATTTCAAGACCTGAAAGTTACCCAGAATAGGGCAAGAACACCTTTTAGAATGTTGGAGTTGTGTGTTGAAAAGTTTACATTCCCATTTCATCTGTAGATGCTAATTAATCACAGCACAGATAAGGAAACAGAATTTTGTAAAACTTGTAAACTGGTAGCTAAACTGAGTCACGTGCATTAGATATGATGCATTCATGACTATACAGCCTTCAGGAGTAATTTTTTATTCTGAAGTATACCAGTGGGTAAGCTGATCAATTGTATTACCTATCTTTTAGTTGTTTCTTTTTTTTTTTAGAATACTGGCTATTACTGGGAGCACAAGATCAGATTTGTCAACCTGGACGCTGACCCAGTTTGGCAGCTTGGTGTTTATAATCATTGTGTGGGCACATAGAAGGATTTCAGTCACTCTTTCTAGAATGCTCATCTAAAGCTGGCAGGTAGGAAATGTGGCCCCATAATGGCTTCAAAAACCACCAACCTGCTATAAATAATCTTTTTTTTTTTTTCTATAACAATCCTTAGTTTTATTCAAAATAAAGTGATTGAGCAAGGGTTTTTTAGTTGCTTACAAAGTAGGTAAGACCATGTCATTAAGGGCTTGTTCTGTTTCCATCTGTTTTGATCAGAGGTGTGCCTAAAGCTCTTGTAGATATACTCAAGGGGTACTTCAACCAACCAGTAGCAGGAGAAAGTGCATCAGAGGCTATGTAAGCATCTGACACCTGATGCTGCCTCCTTCAAGCTATGAACTAACACTACAGCAGAACTGACCGAATTTCAGAATTGACAGAATTAAATAAAAGTCATTCCATAGCTGCTTTATAAAAAGCTCGAGGTGAAATCTCCTGAGGTGTGCTCACGTCATTTTGGCAAGAAACACTTTTCCAAGAAAATCAAGTAATTTTAAATGTCTCAAGATCACAAATTACATGCCTTGTTTTCAGCTGCAAGACACAGATTTATTTGGAAGAAGTGGTGGGTTTGAAAACTAAGTGAACACCCACCAGCAATGCCTGATGCAGCACATATTCCCCAGTTTCCAACATGGTAAAATTATGTGGTGATTAAAATCCACCCTTTGTTTCCCCATCCATTTTCTACCTACATCTGACTCCCTTGTTTCCCAGATATTTCCAGACTTATTTCAGCACATTAATTTCTTCCTTTTTTCCTATTTTCATTGTCTTCTCACTAGGAAAAAAAAAAAAAAAAAGGAGGCAGAGTGATAATGAAATCTGTATTCTTATTTTCTCAGTCCAAAGGCTTACTTTGATGCAAATCCCAACTGGATGAAAACATCAAAACAAAAAAAACATTCTTTTAGGCTTTTTGCAATAAAAGTTCTTTTATATAAATAGCATAAAGTAATATCACTTTTATCAAGTTCATAATTTATATTAAATTATAATATCCTTTTGATGCAAGAGAGTATCTTTAAAGACCCATCAAGTAGTGTAGTTAACACCACACAGAAGCTTTTATTTGCAATGCTAAAAACCAGAACTTTAGATTTCTAATTATACAGCTTTATGAGTGGGAACTATTGTAAATACAGCTCCTGAATATTTTCAGTAGCATTATTACAACTGTTTTATATAATCAATTTTTTTTTTTTTTTTTTTTTTACTTTTGGAGAGCTCACAACAGTGCTCTGAAAGCACAGCTTTGCCTTTGGTAAACAAGATATCGGACTGCACTGCTGTATTTTTATTTACGCATTGGCAGTACAGGATCTCTCCTCTCATTACAAACATTACCTCATTTTTGTGAAAGAAGAGCCTTTTTTTTTTCCTGATGAATGTACAGGTTCCCCAGTACAGAATTTGTGTTGTCTTTCACATCTTCACATTGTGGCACCTTACTTCCTATGAAGGGGTATAGCTGAATCCACCAAAATAACTGCAGAGCTTTGTGACCTTCTAGGGTATGACACAGCATTGGGAGAACAGAAGAGGTAAAAACGGAGTGAGATACAGAAGAAAAAGAACAAAGGACACAAAAGGTTTGGAGAGAATATAAGAGTAGACTATTAAATACCAGGACTAGTGCATCTCTCCAAAATACATGCAAGGTGCAAATAATTTAGGAACCATCAAATATCCTTGCTGTGATATTTTTCTATGTTTGGGATTTTTTTCCTCCTTCATGAAAATAGCTTCCATGTATTCAGTTTAACAGTGTGAAACTGAACCTAAATATATCCAGGCTCTTTGTTTGAGGAAGTATATGAATTCCCACAAAAGTTTTCAATTCTACATTTTACAAATCCCAATCCCCCATGCAGCAAGTATCTCACAACCTACAAGGATCAGTGTTGAACGGTAGAAAGTTAGTTATGTATCCTTTCAATAACCTAAAAGCAGTAAGCCAGCGGAGTCGTTTGAAGAACTGTGATATACATAGTAGTAGCTGATAAGAACAATCCAATGGCAGCATGATGGATTAGCTTGTCATTTGTGATTTCTGTCCAAATCTCTACCATTTTTACAAAAATATGCTTTATCCTTCTCTCCAGTTTTCTCTCCTGCTCATGTCCCAGTAGGTTGCTTAGTTGAAATGCTGCAATGAAAACCTTTCAAGATGGTATCTAGGTATGTTTGTCCAAATGGAACCATGCAGCAAAATTCATTCCATGACAAAGCCTTATTGTAGTAAAGTGATGACCACATCATCATCTTTTCCTTGCCAAAGCATTTCACCTTCAAAATGAACCAGACCATGTTTTCTGGCTCTTAACAAGATTCCCACTACTTTATTGGAAATAGTCACATATGTTTCAAACAGCTGCCCAAATGTCACACTCACGTGTCCATCTTCACCCACCTGTCCAGTGCTTCTAATGATCAAGCACAGCTCTTCTACTTCCTTGCCCACGTGTGAGTGAGCATCTTTCCCTCTCTGCTCTGTCCGAGACCCTTCAGGGGGTCTCCCATAGGTAGGATCTCCTCGGTGAGTGTGCGCAGGTCTAGAGGCAAGCCTGTCCTCGCTGCTGAACGGGTTCTTTCTCTGATACTCAATGTGATCCTCTGCCCAGGTCTGCCAGCTTTTCCTCAGGTCACCCACTGCACTGGTAGCTTTAGCACTCTGCCCTTTATCTCCTTCCATTTCTTGAAAAATGTTTTATGGTACTCAAGCAGGAAACAAATCAATGACTGGTTGTAACTGTGGTTCCTGGGTGCACTGTCAGCTGTAAAAGAAAAACAACAAATCAGCTTGTTAATTTTTGGAGGAGTTTTGCTCAAGGGAGAGGAAAGGCTCCTGAAAAAGACAATAAATATCTGAAGATTTTTTTAATTCCACCCATAATTCTGCAGCAATGAAGAAAGTAAAAGTGATTCAGCTGAAATTCAGAAGCAATGTTGGAACACAGTAAGTTGTGCTTACAAGGTTACCCGGTGGACAACTGGTCCCACGGCCTCCGTGCAACACAAACGTAGTGCAGTGCTTACTCCTTCTGCAATGATGCCTTTTAAAGAACTTTATCCTAGTACCCAGCAGCCCCGCTGACTTCCCAAACAATCTGATGCAGTGCTGGCTGACCTGGGAAGAGAGCAAACCATTCCCCCCGAGAGGCAGCACACCAACCCATGTACAGGGGTGGGAAGCCTTTCTCCTGCCTGCACACTGATTAAAGGTGGACAAATTCACGCTGTGCTGACAAGGTTCCCACGGGCTGTGGAAGTTATTATGCACAGAAAATATTATCTGGAGCTGAAGCGCCAGTACATGGTGGGAGCAGGAGGATTTTCCTCATCAGGCACTTTAAAGAAAAGGGGAAATCCCAGTTAGTGAGCATGTCACTGTCTGCAACACCCTATTTAGTGAAGAAGACAAAACCGGAATAGATAGTTCTCCCTTAAAAGGCTGTGCTGCACAGCCATGTCGGCCACAGGCAGGCTCCAGGCAAGGGAGCTTGCGCTCCAGAGGGAAAACTGCCTTACCGCTCCGGGTGCACGGGCTGCCCACCACCTGTGACATTACTTGTACTTAGATTATGGGCTGTCTGGGAAGTACAGGATTATTTTGGTGAATTAGGCACAGACTTTTGCATACCTACAGAGACCTGAATGTATTATAACCATGTCTTTGCTGGGGCGTTATTTTTCACCTGTTGCAATATGCAAACTAGAGTCTTCATGTAGCATATTAGTAGAGCTGATACTTTTACCGACATTTGAGGATAAAACCAATGATTAGTGCTAGCTTTTCTATGGGGAAACGGACAGAAATGCAAATTCTGAACAGTTTAACAACTGAATTATTGAATAGGTATTTCTATAATTTTTAAGGAATGTTGTTTTTAAGGTAAGATTTAATGGATATTTGCCCATATATATATGTTGGTGCTGTTGCACATGAACCCACGAGCAGTGACAGAGCTCCCCGCATGCCCCAGCAGAATGTGCAAGTCAGTCAAAAAACACTTGTGTTGCCTTTGGGTCCAGAAGAGTGCATGGGGTGAGCAAAAAGTGGCAACACAATCACTACAAAAGAGAACTGAGAATAATAAGCAGTAGCACACATCAAATAATTGCTTTTCAATCACGGTCTCTAACTTTTAACCTGAAACTTATGATTGTCATATGATCCTATTGTTATATTTTTTTGTGACAGGAAGGTGTTTAATTCTAGCTTCCTGGATAAATTTTGAGATGAGTAATTACACATTCTGTACTTAAAATTTTCCCTAAAATTTTAAGGCTAAAAGGCTAAAAAGGACAATGTTTCTTTCTTTCCCTCCCTAACATAGTAACATAATGTTGCTGATTTAGGATGACTCCTCAAATCCACACTAACAAACTGCTTGATTCTCCTCGATGGCATTACAGGAACGTATGTTCGGTTTACAAACACAGCATCTGAAAAGCATTTTGTTTTTACGTCAGAATCAAATACTCGGTAAGTCTTACTTAGTAATGTGCATTCACTTTCAAACTGTGCTGAGCAAGATACATAGACTCCCAGAGATTTTGCATGGATCCTCAAGTCTAAAGTAAGAAAAAAACAGGGCTTTAGTTAAATTCTTCTGTAGAAGCAATATCCCTGGAAAACTGAGGTATGCATCTCGTGAGAACAGACAGCAATACTCTGAAGATAAAGCAGTGCAGATAGAATAAGCAAAAGCCAGTCTCAAAGAGATTAAGCTTAAAAATAATACCAATAACGCCTCCTAAGGAGTTTCAAAAATGGAAAGTTATACAGCTAAGAAATTTAAAGTGAGACAGAATGGAAGAATAAAAGCAGGCTTCTTCCACTAAATCTCTCTCAGCAATCCCAAGATTCTGTAAGCAGTCTCAGGCTCTCGAGCTTTGTCAGCAGTTCAGCAACGTGTTTATTGCTGGGTGCCAGCATTCAATTGCTGAGGAGAACAAGCCTGATCCACATCTACCTCTTTTCTTTCTCTTCTAGGAAAGTTCACGTTTAGCTTCCAGGTCACTTTAGATTGTTTTCTTGTCAATCATCAGGGCTAAAACTTCACAGTAAACCTCAGTTTTGATTACTGCAGAAAGGGATAACTGGAGAAGCTGCAGGATGGGATTATGGAGATGCATAAGGAAGGTGGCCTGTGGAGTGCTCACAGGTCATGAGCTAAATCTTAGCCATCTAGAAAAAAAGCTGTCTAAAAATTAGCACATAAAATACAGAACATGAATTCAGTGCTGAGCTGGCCTGGTTCTAATAAAAAGCTTACCGAAATCTGGATAAGCCGAATCTCTCAGCTCAACATAACAGGGAGATCAGTGAGTACGAGATTATAGTTATCATGCCTAGATATTAAAATAAAAGAAAATATAATCTGCAAGACAAAGCTCTTCTGCTCCCCCACTCCCACCCCCCTCCCGTTGGATAGTCACACCTCTGTCCTTCTCCTGGGAATCTGCTTCTCTACCTGGTCCGACACCCACACCGGCGGTGCTGACCTCCTTCCCACGGAAAAACGAATGCGACTCCCTTGGCATCTGTTAATTCTTAATGTTATTTAATGCTCCAGATCCTTAAACGTGGCCAGGAGAGGACGCAGCGCTGCCCTACCAGTGTTAACCCCCCCCACACACACACCCCGAGCCAGCGTGTGTCCCCAGGCTACGCCCAGTTATTTATAAACCACACGCAGGCTCCGCCGCCCCGACACGTGGCGCGCGTGATAAAGCACATCCAAAACACAAATTAAAAGAAGGATGAGAAGGAGACGGAATGAACAGTAAATAACGCGGAGTGCGCGCAGCACTCACTCGTCCGCCCCCCGCCCCCCGCCTCCTCGCCCGGTCCGCGGTGTGTCCCCGGCACACGCCCCTGCCCGGGCCGCTCCCGCCGGGGCGCGGAGCCCGCCCCATCCCGGCGGCGCATGCGGCGGGCGGGGGATGGCCGGCCATGGCGCTGGCGGCCTCGGCGCTCCGGCGGTACCTGCTGCTGCTGGCGCAGGAGCACCTGGAGTTCCGCCTGCCGGTGAGCGCTGCAAGGGCCTGGGATCTGGGGCCGGGGCCAGGGACCGGGGGGCCGGGGCGCTCCCGCACAGCGCGGTCCCGGCTGTGCCCGCGGGCGGGCGGCCGGACCCCGGCGGGGCCTCGCCCGCCCTGCGCGGCTCGGGGAGAGCCGGGAACTCGGGGCTCCCGATGCCCCTTCGCTCCCCGCGTCCCGTGTCAAGAGACAGAGCCCAGGCGTGGGGCCGCCTCTCCTCCCTTCCCGCCCCATGGAGAGCGTCTGCGTGGTGGCTTTTTTTGCCCTTGCCGCTTTTTCCAGAGCCTCTTGGCGTTAGTGGAAGTTGCCGGCAGAGTACGTGGGGCTCCACGTGAGAAGGGGAAGCTGTGAGGGGTGGCGGTGGGGGAAATTGGGTTACAGAAGTGCTTTCGGGATCTTGCTTTGGTGACTTTTAAAGTTTGTTTAAACTGTATTGCTGCTCCCGCCAGCGTGGTGTGGGTACAGAAGTGGTTGGTGCTGCCCTGGGGGACGCTTGCGGTCAGCTCTCATTCCAGTGTGCAGTGGACTGCCCGGGGAAGTGGTGGAGTCACCGTCCCTGCAGGTGTTTAAGGAAAGACGATGTGGCGCGCTGTGCCGTGGTCTGGTTGAGGTGGTGGTGCTCAGGCATAGGTTGGTCTCCATGATCTCAGAGGTCTTTCCTAACCTGATTGATTCTGTGATTCCCCGTCCCAGGTGCTTATGGAGCTCTGTGAGGCAGGAGATTTTCAGGTGTCTCCATTTTCAGAAGGAAGATTTGGGGGGCAGTGAGGATGGTGCTCTCTGGAGCCCTAGGGCCTGTGGCACGGGCCGGGGTTGAGCAGAGGTCTCTAAGACCTCGGCTGGCATCCTGGTTGCGAGCCTTGCTCACACTGGTGGCACTGAGGACTGCTCACTTTTAGCTTGTGACCCTGGGTGTTTGCTTACATGCAGTCAGAAAGGTTTGTGCCCCCCTGGCCTGTGTGGGATTAGGGAGAGTAGAGCTGCTTCTGTGGTGGGATCAGAGCAAGTCCTGCCTCGAGTGCTGCAATCTGCTTGTCGATGACACGAGTGTGATGGTTGGTTGCAACATCTGGGGTGCAGAGTTTGTTCCCTGTCGCTAAATCTGCTTTACCTCGTTCTGTGTTCACAGAAATAATTGAAACGAAAATAAATTGTAACTTGTTTGAAGCTTCCTGGTCTTTTTTTTTTAATCCCCAGTGTTTTTATGGACCCTTGGTGAATGTGTAGTTTAGCATACACTCAGTTTCCACATTAGTAAAAAAACCCTATTGTTTGTAAATTTAACCTCTGATATTTTTTTTTCCCCATGATAACTTATGGAGTTGCTATACACCTTAACAAAATCTGATACCCTAAGGGCTCTTCTAGGCACTATCTAGAAGAGCGAGTAATATGTTATTGTTTAAAATAGTGCTGAAATGCAGAGTTATTTTGTTAGAATTGGTGGGTCATCATTACACGTTATAAAATATTTAATGTGTCTTGCGTCATTTTGTTTTCCTTGTTTTCATTAAGATTTTCTATTGTGCGTTGATTTTTACTATTTGTTTGTGAGGCTGGAACATGAATTTTTTTTATTTATTTATTTATGATCAACCCAGTTTGTCATTAGGCAAGGCCTTCAGATGAAGTAAAAAGATGATGATATATATGTAACAGACAGTTTTTTTCTTTTATCACCAAGGTTATAGTGACACTTGGTTGCTATAGCTGCTGAAGAAAGCAGTTCCATTTCCCTTTTCTTGTACTCTGCTCAGCCATCTGTTTGGCTTGGTCATGAGCTTAATGAAACAAGGAAGGACAGATTTTTTTAGCTAGATGATCTGCTTGATCTCCATCTCTACCACATCTGCATATGGGATATGAGAGGACTGCTTTTGTTCTTCTGGTAGTGCTGGATCACATCAACTAAAGGTGTTCGTCCAAGTCCACATTTGTTGTTCAGTGTCTGAAGTTACGTGTTTCATGTTTCTTAGTTGATAAACTGTGCTCTGTAGTCAGGGATCTGTTTTTTGTTTGGTCAGACACTTAGGGGTTAAATCAGGCATTCTGTTTTACAGCACAGCTTGTTTCTAATGGAGAGATCAATGCATGTCAGATGTTTTCTTATCAATGTCCTCAGGCAGATACGTTCCAGTGCTTCATTATCTTTACTCTTGGAAGGATCTTCCCAACTTCTCATCCAGAGCACTGCTGCGGTTTGAACCTCATGCAGTCATCTTCTCCATAATAAATGTTGAAAACAGATTATTATCTTTCTTTATCACAGCAACCTTTAGCATGTGTAGCTGGTCTCTCCCAGCCTTCCCTTGCTGGCCGTGTTTTTTCTGCTTCTTATTTTTGTCACTTTCCTGTAGGTAATATTACTGGTGTGTGGAGGTGCCACCAATTCATGTATAAAGTCTCAGGTGCTTTTTCTGCCTCAGGACCATACAGTGAAATAGTTACACTTAATCTTATTTTTTTTTTGAGCAAACCCCCTGTTTTTTGGAACGTTTCTTATGTCCATTTTATTCAAATGGAAAGAGGGAAATGAGTGGGGTAATGTCCCTCTAAAACTGTATGCTAGTGTCATGCTGGGTTTTCCTTTCCTCCATTTTTTGGTGGTAATTAGTGGTAATCTTTTCGTTTACCCACTCAATTGAAATCTAAGCCAGTATAAAATTTTCCCTCCATGTTCTTTTACCGGTAGCATCCAGAGATCGCAGCATGTAACTTCTAGTGTTGGGGCTGCACAAGAAACATCCCTGATGATTACATCTTATTTGAGTTTGGAAGCCTTTTAAGTACATTGTTTTCTCTTTTTTTCAGGTATTACTTATTAGGTTGTTTCTTGGAGATTTGCTCTTTTGTGTGTTTAATTTACAGTCTTTTGATTTAGAGAAGACATCTACTAAAGAAAACTTGGGATTGGGACTTACAAGTTGAGATACTTGTAAAGCAGAGAGGTAACAGAAAAGGAATTGATGTTTAGTGCTGGTCCTGGCCCTGGGTCTGTGTTACTAGAGAAACACCATTTTAATGTGAATTAGTCAGAAAAATATTTTAAGAATAAAAAGAATAATACTGTAAGAGGAATATTGTTGTGAGAGTGCAGGATTGAACAGTAAAGATTTAGATGAGAAAATCTGAAGCAGGGGAACTTGATTACTGAAATTTGCCTAATGGAGCTTATTCTTTTGCCACTGAACTCTGAGAAAACTGCTTTTAAAGCAGGAAAGTCTTACCTTTTTTTCTGTTCATGAACAGTACATACAAGCTGAATTTACTTGAGAACTTCTGTCCTATCCATGCAACTACTCTGAGAGTTTCACTGTCTGTTCCCACAGTAAATTTGATAGTACATGCCATTCTGTCTTCTTTTTCTGTCTCTGGAATTTTGTTCGTAATCCTCACCGCCTGCAATAGAATTTGTGTTATGCTGCCCTTTTTTCCTTGTTTCCCCCCTTTCTTTTTTCAAAACATTTGTTAATGATTCTAAAGCCTGGCCTCTATATTTTCAATTTAGGAAATAACATCATTGCTCTCCCTTTGTGGTGGAAAATTCAGCGGTGAGCAGGAAATTCGTGTTAATGTAAGTGAGGACCAAATATTGTACTTGAGTGTGTGTATGGTATGCAAGTATGTTCTTTATAGTATTTTTGATAAATGTGAGTAACTGAATAAATTTTGAAGTTTCTTAGAAAAATCAGGAATCTTCCAAAAACGAGGCACTCTCAATTTCAGTAAAGGCTCAGAACTTAAAGAAAAGATGCACAAAATACACCTCAGCATTTCTTCGTTTAACAGTATGTAAAGAAGGAGTGCCATCTGCTGGGAGGCTCTCCTTTCTTCTCGGAATAGCCGAACCGAGAAAACATTCAGCAGCAGTTTTGATTTGATGTTTGCGTCTAAATCACTGAGACACAGTATCTGGAAGAGTACAGCTAGGAAACTGTATGATTTTGGTCTCAATGCTTAGTCCGAGAATATTACCAGGAATAAGTTACTGCTTATGTGTAACAAGATGTTTTTCATCTTTAGGGGATGAATAGTCTAGAGAAGTGCAAACAAATAATATTTTACTAAGTCAAAGATACAGTGGAAAAATGAAATGCATAACAAAATTTGTCAGACATTCAAGCTGAGTAAATGGTTTTGCCTGAAATTAAATATTTATCATCTGTATGATTACAGTCAACAGATTTATTTTTATTTATTTTTTTTAATTTCAGCATCCATGTTCTGTTTTTACAGAATAGAATTGTGTAGTTGTGTAATTCTTCTGACGTCCTCCAACTAGGTATTTGTATCACTTATCTTCTTTTTATTTCAGTCTCCATTTTGGATTCTCAATATTCCTTCAGAAGAGATGGCAAGGGGACTAATGAAACGGACAGTATGTGCAAAGTAAGAGATGAAAAATCTTGTAAACAATAACTGAAGTGGTGGAATATTGTTTTATTATGGCAAATAGATTTCATATGCAGTCTTCAAATAAGCAGTCTTTAATTCCTTCTAGAATTAAGATGTAACTGGAGTTTGTAGGACTCTTTTAGGACTGATTATGTAGCATTCACGTTCTCTTGGTGTATGATCAAGTCAGGGTCTGAAAATAGTGTTCTTCACTCCAGAGACAGTACTCACTGATGTTTTATTCACCTTGAATAAAGTTTAGTTAGTGGGTTGTTTTAAAATATGTATGGAATTAAAAGATAAAAATGATGATAAGTAAAAATTGAAAAGCAAGTTTTGAAGGGGAAAGGTTTTGTAACTCTCCCTTAGTGGTGGCATCTGAACCCTCAGCCCAGCCCACTGCAGCAGAGGTCCTTCTAGAAAATTCAAGAGCACAAGAGTATGCCAGAGAGTGATTGTTCCAGCTGGTCCTTTTTAGAGGTGTCTGAAAAACATTCTTTGCAGTGAAGCTTGTGAGAGAGGCTGTGGCGGTGTGGTTCGGGATGAGAGGCAGTGTAGGCATGGTGTGTCTCTGACGATACTAAATTTGTGGTGTTTGTGCTGTGTTTTTCAGAGTTAGTTTGGGCCCCTCTGCAGAGCACTGCATAGTCCCCGCTGAGTGCTTATTGTGTCAGGTATTAAAGGAGCCCCATGTGTACAAAACTGTCCCTAGAACAGTATATTTCCAGTGGACATCAACTGTACTGCACTTCAGAAAGCAGCTAAGGAAGTAAAATATGACAGAGCAGCTTTCAGATGTTCTGTATGCCATGCTCTTTGTATGCCATGTATCCTTAATTTATGTAGAAAGTGTAGCTAGCCCACAGCTTATTTTTCTGGCCTACTGCTGGTTGTGGGAAGACATGTTAGTTTTAGAAGATTACCAGTGCATCTTCATTGCACTGCTAATCACTATCAAAAGCTCTGATGCTTTTAGTATATGTTACCAAACAAACAAAAAAAAGCATAATTGAAATATTGGCTTAGGATTAAAAATTAATGTGTCCTTATTAAGAACAAAAATTAAGACATTTGCTAAGAATTAAATACCACACTTCAGAACTCCATGAAGTAAAGCCTAAATAAATTGGCCAAGAAGGTTAAAAGGAGTAAGTGTCTGTAAGGCATTTTGCCCCCTCCATGTGACTGCACTCTCAAAAACTTTGTAATTTCAGGTCTATATTTGAACTGTGGGGTCATGGAAGATCTGAGGGGGAGCTCTATGCCTCTTTGAAGAACTATCCAGTGGACAAGATGGTATGCATATAAAGAATCTGGATAATACAGTCCCTCTGTCCACTGAATAACACTGCATCTATACTAATGAAACTATCTTTGCCTTTTTTTTCAGCTTCCATATCTACAGTCAGACTCTACTTACAAAGTACATATTCATACATTTAATAAAACACTGACCCAAGCACAGAAAATAAAAAAGATTGATGTAAGTAGATGGTTAAGAAATGCTTGATGTTTAGTTTAATCATTTATGTTGTTCTTATTCCATGCTATCAGAGTATTTAAGTTTGGGTTTCCTGAAGATCTGAAAGAAGTTTATTGCTTATGTCTTCTCAGGTCTAAATGAGATCTTTGTGTCTGAATTAAAATTCCCTCAAAATTCATGACTTTTTTTTTTTTTTTTTTGCTTACCTAAACAGACCGTGTGTGGCATATACAAAGCTAAATAAACATCACTGCTGATTTCATCCCAGTGTGCTGGGGAAACTGAAGCTTATTGCCCAAAACACTGAGATTCCAATGGCTAGAGTTAGGTGCTAGACTTTTGGAAAATCTGTTAGTTGATCTCCGAGTTATGCTTTTATTGTTGCAGAATGTGGAACAAGTGACTTCAGTTGCAAGCTGTGGATTGTGTGCTAATCTGTTCTGTCCTTATGCTCTTGTCTGCACTTGTGCTCTCCTCCTAACTGTATCAGTATTATAATTAGGACATTTTTTTTAAATTACTGTTAATTTTTGCTCTTCCACATGCTGTTTTATCAGCTATTTGTTCTATTTACGCCATTTACAGAAACTGAAATTATCTGTATTAGTAGTAGGCACTCTTCCCTGTTTGTTAGATTTTGTGTACATGAAATAATGCTGAGTATGTAAATTGGTGTAGCTGCACATCACTGAAATTTTATATCCCGTTGTTCATCATCAGTGTTGTTTGTGTAACTTGAGAATTGTGTAGATAATATGCACAGTTCATTTCCTCTGAAGTTGGGTTCTCTTCAGTTAATAAAAAGTGTTATGGTTCCTGATTTCTAATTCTTAATCATATGAGGTATTTTGAATTACAAGAAAGGTATTTCAAAAATCTAGATAAAATTGAGAATGTACTTTTTAATACTGATTTATCATTTCTCACAAGTAAAATTGTGGTGGGGATTTTTGGGATCAAGGGTTTATTTTGGTTTTTTTTTTCTATTGGAGGGGAGGTGCCTATTAAAAAATTTACCCTGGTTTGAGGATTTTTTTTTTACTCTGCTTTTCTTTATTGTATAGGCCCTTGAATTTCTGCCATTCAAAGGAAAAGTAAATTTAAAGAATCCAGAACATATCTTCTGGATTTTGGAAGATTATGGAACGGACCCAAATAATGTTCCAGAAGAGCCCTTTCATCTGTATTTTGGTAGATGGGTGCGTGAGTGTGCTTGCTTCTTATGAGTTCTTACGAGCTTGTATTTTCAGGAAAGTGTTCTTCAACTGAAATGTAAAAAATTGTGTTGACTTTCAGTGGAAGCAGACTATATAATTATGTCTGAATCTGTCACTGCAAGTCTTGGAGGCTTTACTGTGACTAGGAAAAAGTGGGTTAATTGAGCAATTTAGAGGTGGAAAAAAGTGAAGTTGTCTCTGGAAACACACCTTATCTTGCCCTCCACTGAGAGAACTCAGCACAGCTGTGAGACTGCGCAGCTGTGGTGGTGCACTATGTTATTGTGGGCCCAGCTGCAGCTGAAAGCCCTAGCAGTGGGTTTCAGACATGTAAAAAGATAGACGGAACTGTAGATGCCTTGTGGCCCTGTTGAGTTGCGTCAGGCCCACTAGAGCATTCTGTAAGTGCTTCAAGAGGTCCTGACAGGAACCTCCACAGAAAGGTGCAGACTGATCCCTGAGGCTTTGGACAGCAGCAGGTTCAGCTCACAGGCCCGAAGGGGACACTGACAGTGCAGGGCCTACAGCAGGAACCACTTATAAAAGCTGTCTGGAGCCTGTCAGCTGAGGTCTTCACTACAAACCTTCTTGCCCTTTAAAGCTGCCACATTATTAGCATATCCTGAGGAAATCTGATCTGGTGTTTTATGTTTTTGTGAGGAAAAAGTGGCTCCCCAAAGGACATCTTCCAGAATGACACGAGCCACTGATGGGAATATGTGCTAGCAGCGTCCTGTGTCAAGGGCAGCTGGAAGGAGGGAGAACCACTGCTGAGGCTGTATAGCTATGGTCAATGGCTTGTGTATAGGAAAGTTAGACATCCAAGTGATATGTTAGGACGTGTGAGTGTTCTCCGTGCTCGTGGTTAACGTGCAGGCACCCTGGGTTGTGGCAATACTGTAAAACATTGCAGCTGTTGTCCCATCTGTGCTGGATTCTTGAAGTGCTGAGTAAACCAACCTAAAAAAAATAGACAAGTGTATTTTGTTTCCCCAGTAAGACGATGTTGACCAGAGGTGGCGGGGTAATGTCGGAAGAGCTTTTGACCATGTTTTTTTGTAGATAGCTTTGTTCTTCTTTAACATATTTTGGAAGTCTGATGAAAAATACTAGCATTCGGTCTTTGTTTGGTTTTCCATTAAATTCTGATCTGTCAGTGCTATCCTGAGTATAGATTTTGAGCATGACAGAAATGCCAGGGAAGAAGGAAATTCTGTATGACCTTAAGCATACGTGTGTGTATGTGCACACATGTGTTAACATGCATTTCTCCTCCTCTTAATTTTGAAATTCTTTTAACTCTGAATTGCCAGGAATTGTTTTTCTGATGCTCAAAATAATAGCAAAGTTGCTATAATTGTTATTTCTTCAGAAGAATTTTCTGTCTAAAATGTTTGTATATTTTTAACCTCTGTCTTGAAGAATTTATCTAGGTGTTGAACCAAGATATCTGTTGCTTGGAAAGAAGTCTGTCATATTTTCAGACGTCAGAAAGCAAGGTGATGTGTTACGAAATGAAGTTACCTGTTTTTAGATGGTGTCACTTAAACACGTCTGTCATCCTGCCTGCTTATATCTTGTATCTAAGACCTGACAGAGATTATAAATGTTTCAACAGATTGCAGATGGCCAAAGAGAACTCATTGAATCCTACAGTGTAAAGAAGAGACACTTTATTGGAAATACAAGCATGGATGCCTGCCTGTCTTTCATTATGGCCAACCATGGGAGAGTAAAACCCAATGATGTTGTATGTGATCCATTTGTTGGAACAGGTATTGTGTTGTTTTTTTTTTTTCTCCAACTGGTGAGAAAAATTGGAAGATTGTCTTACTGTTTGCATCAGACTTTTACCTGGTGCAGTGGCTTCTGGTGCTCATTTGATATTTGAGATGATACCGAAGGCAAACGCTGACTGTAAAATGAGTAGTCTGTTAACTTGAAAGGGATTTTGGGGGGAAGGAGACCAACTTCCAGAGCTATAACCAGTTTATTTTACACTTCTGAAAAATCTGTCTTTACTGTTCATGCAACATGGCTTAAACACTACTTCATATGTGTCGTGGACTGCCTAAGATTCAAAGTGACCAAGAAGTGAAATTTGGCTGATGTACTTCCTGTGGTCACTTTCAGGGGGTTACAATGAGCAGCATTTTAGAGCTGGCTATTTAGAGTGCAGAGGGCATGTCTGGGCGTTTAACATAACAATAGTTGGGTCATAGCATTCAGTAGAGATCAGTTTGTTGTTCCTTCACATCCTGTCTTTAGGATACAATACTGCTCACACCACGTATCCGCCCCTAGCTGAACTTTTCCTAGTTTATCCAGGAGGGGGAGCTTTTATTCCACATATTACTCTACATGACATAGAAGCACATTTTGCCTCAGGGAAACTCAGTTGTTTTGTAGGTGAAATAGCTGATCTGTTGTGTCAGATTGTGCCATATAATCATAGCAGAGTATACTGTATTAAGCTACCTGTAGTAGTTTCTTCAATAACATAATGAAGGCTGTGTTTATGACCTGGATTTTAGAATCATAGAGTAGACTCATAGAACATCCTGGGTTAGAAGGGACCCGCAAGGATCATCGAAGTCCAACTCTCTGAACCTATACAGGACAACCCCAAGAATCACACCATGTGCCTGAGAGCATTGTCCAAATGCTTCTTGAATTCTGTCAGGCTTGGTGCTGTGACCATTTCCCTGGGGAGCCTGTTCCAGTGCTCAGCCACCCCCTCGGTGAAGAACCTTTTCCTGATATCTGACTTAAACCTCCTCTGACTCTTCTTCAAGCCATTTCCTCCAGTCCTGTCACTGGTCACCAGAGAGAAGAGATCAGTGCCTGCCCCTCCACATCCATAGCAGTTTCAGACTGCAGTGAGGCCTCCCTTCAGTCTCCTCTTCTCCAGGGTGAACAGACCAAGTGACCTCAGACACTCCTCACATGGCTTCCCCTCAAGACCCTTCACCAACTTTGTTGCTCTCCTTTGGGTGCTCTCTAATGGCTTAATATCTTTCTAATATTATTACACTCAAAACTGCACACAATATTCAAGGTGAGGCTGCCCCAGTTCAGAGCAGAGTGGGACAATCCCCTCCCTAAACCGGCTGGAAGTGCTTTGCCTGATGCTCCCCAGGACACGGCCCTCTTGACTGCCAGGGCACTGCTGACTCCTATTTAACTTGCCAAACTTTGATCAAGATGACCACATGTGAGATGCATACAATTAAAAATACTTATGTTAATGGGAGGATGAGGATATTTTTCTGCATCTTCTTACAAAAATCTGCTAAACAAAAAAAAAATTTCTGAGAGCATTTATTCTCATGGGAGTGAAAAGGAAGGTAAAGACAGAGGAAGAAAAATCACATGGAAATGGCAAAGCTATAGAAATTCAACATCAATGGTAAATCATTTTTCAGTTCAAAAGATAACAAATACAATACAAGTATACAAAATTCTCAACAAATTGCCTAGTGGTTTGAATCACATTTTTGGGGGATTTTTTTCCCTGGATATCTGTAATACAAAGGCTAAAGGTGCATGGGTTTGCTGATGGGTTTGAAATGAACATATATACAGGATTTGAGGAGCATTTTGAAACTGCAGTTCAGATTTCCTTACTGATGCAGCTTTATTGTCTGGCATGGTTTCTTCCTGATTTTTTACAGTGAAAAGGTAAATAGTGCCAAATCAGAATGGCCTTGCAAAATGGTGCTTCCATGTTGGAAAGAAACTGTTTTTTGCATAAGCCAAATCACAAGTCTTCCACATTAGTGTAACAGTGGCAGATTGGCAGTTGTCATTGGAATATGAAGTGCTCTTTGACCAGGCTGGCTTTTAGGAGACTTGATTCCCCTTCTTACTGTAGAGCAGAATTGGAACGTCCAGGATTGTTTTTAAGTTCCATAAACTGTTTAGGTATCCTTTCCTCAGTGTTGAGCACAAAGAAGCCTGGAGGTTTCTGGAAGAATAAAACAAGCCTTCTACCTTAATATTTTGTGCTTCCTCCTAGACAATCTGTTCAGGTTATCTCAGTAATCTTGTTGATAGTACCATTGGAAGGTATTTGTCCTTACTTTCTCTTTGCCATTTTGTGATACTGTGTAGTTGCAAATGACAAGAATTTTTTTTTCTTTGATATCCTGGGGGACAGTGATGTGACCAGTGCTCGTGGGTGCTGAAGAGATGGGGGAAGAGTGTACGATAGAAAGGCATGAAGTTCTGTGCCACGAGGATATTGTGCTAATAGTCATCAGGGGACACAGTGATTCTCTGATTAACTCTCTTAGCATCTGTTTCATATAGTAGATCAAAGGGCTGGCCATATTACAGTATTTAAGTATTCGTGCACCTTCTGTGTGAACGCAACTGAACTAGTACCAGCTGAGATTTATTGAAAGCTTTAAGTTCATGTTTTCCTAACTTTTTTTTTGCCTGTGATTAAAACCATTCTTAGACGAGCAAAGTACTTTCTTCTTACTTTCTTGTAGGACTGGGTGGTATGCCTTACTTGGGGTCAGGGCTAGCTAAATTTGTCCAGACCCTCTGGAGTACTGCCCATCTCTTCTGAGGGATTGCAGCCAAGAAGGGAAATGGGTGACTCCTCTGGTATGAGTAGCCTTGCTTTTCCCTGATCCAAGAAAAAGCAGAGGAATTTAAAAACTTTTATTTCTTCCTCACATTTGGTTTTTGTAGAGTTGGTTACCATATGGTGTAGGAGTTATCTGGTTCTCTGAGATGGGACACTTTAGCCCATGCACACAGGGCATGTTAGGGATGTGTTTGTCCTGAGTGGATGGCTCGGGGCAGTGCAGCCTCCTGAAGTGTTTCTCTCCATGCTCCCTGTGAACAAGAGAACGGGTGTCATCAGCACAGCCAGCTTGCACATTGTTCCCTGTGCTTGTCCACTCTCCATCCTGCAGCGATCTTACGCTTTTTTTTTAGCAGGACTGTTGCCATCAGTAATGTGGGGTTCACAGCCTTGTTCTCAGTCACTGTTCTGTTTTAAACCATTCTGCTAGCTACGTACCTCCTATTTAATAACTTGACCACACAGATATTTGGTATTCTTCTGCAGTCTGTCCACTGTTTCATTTGGAAGCTGTTAAAGAGGTAATGTCATTTGTTCATTTTTGTGGTCTGTTCAACTCTTGTCAAGTTTCAAGGGGAAATCACACATGCTTTTCTGTTAGGTTTTTTTTTTTGTTGTTGTTTTTTTTTTTTTTTTTTTTTTGTAAATTAGGAAAGCAGATCTCAATAGTAGTGACTAAAAAAGGTTTTATTGCAGAATAAGTACACTGGTAAAACTACTGACCAAATAGGCAGCATACTCACGGAAATATGCATTTGTGTATCATTTTCACACTGTGTAACAATTACGGAAACTGTTTTGATGTTGCTGTTTACACTGGACATATTTACATTTGCAAGGCTCTTGAACATTGTTTGTTACTCGGGGAATGGCCAGATTTTACAACAAGTTTGATTTTAAACAGAGTTAAGGAGACTGACTTTGCAAACAGACGCAGTAGAACCGCTATTTGTTTGGTGATGACTTTTCAAATTGTGTGCCAACAATTTGAAATTATGTTCCTTGCAAAGTAGTATCAAGAGTTTTGGATCATGTAATGGTTAAAGAATCTTAGTGCTTTGAAATACAGAAAAACATAAACTCCTAAGAGCAGTCTGAAGAGATAAGGAGTGACATAGGGCAAAGTAAGATAAGGAGAATCAGGTGTAGCAGACGAGAGTTGTAATTATCTCTGATTATAGCTGCATAGTGATTCTAACAGGTTGGTAATTTTAATTCTTTTTTTTAGTTTCTTTTTCTTTTATGCTTGGGTCTAGCTTTGGGTCTAGTATGCTACTGCTTGTGTAAACTCCTGAAGTTCCTGAGGAAAAAATTCCAAGACAAGCGACATTTTTGACAGGAGTTTATATTTTTCTTCTTTTCTCCTCTGTATAGGTGGCCTTCTAATCTCCTCAGCACACTTCGGAGCATATGTGTGTGGTACTGATATAGATTACAACACAATCCACGGATTAGGTATGTTACATATTTCTAAGCCATTGAAATCTTGCTCTCTGGAATTTAAGATGGTAGTGGATGATACCTAGTGGATTTTAAAGCAGTATTAATCTTATTAGGATTTATTTGGTCATGCGTATTTTTTTTCACCAATTTACATGTATCCCAGCTAAAATATTATCTTACTTTTAAGCAGGAAATATTTTAAAAAAGGAATAATAAAAACCAAAGTTCCAAATAATAATTACCACAGCTGTGTGCTCTCTTAACCTGTGATGTATGAAGCTTCTTGAAACCTAACCCAGGAACTCTAATCTCATTCTTACTTTTCTGAAAATCTGCAGTGCAAATTATATCTGACCTGGTGGACAGGATTGTGGCTGATGGTCAGAGAGAACATCTTACAAAACAACATCTTTATGTTCTGGGACACCCTTTGCAGATGGTGCAGCAGAACTTTTCTCGTATATTTTCATTATTCCTCACTAATTCTGAAGTTTACTGCAAGTACTTTTGACAGGTTTTGTAGTGATGTTTAATTATTTTCCTTTAAATTGTATGGTAGAGTATTATGGAAAGCTTTTCTTATATATAATAGTTTCTATTGCTTTTGAGTGTGCTTTTTTCCACACTCTGTGCCCTCTCCCTTCCCAGGCAAGGCAAGCAGAAAGAACCAGAAATGGAGAGGGCCAGATGAAAATATCAGAGCTAATCTCCGACAGTATGGTTTAGAGAAATACTACCTCGATGCACTGGTTGCTGATTCTTCAAGGCCGATATGGCGAAAAGGGATGCTGTTCGACGCAATCATTACAGACCGTAAGTTTGTTACTGCTTTTTGTTGACTAATAGCAGTGACTAAAAGATTATTGCCTATGTCTGTGCCTATGTGCATTGATTTAATGTCTGGATGAGCGCTCAGATCTGCGGTTTCCATGTTATCAGAGGTGATTATTGAGAGCAGCGCTATGGAAATTGGATCTGCATTTGACAGCTCTGCGTTTATTTTAGGGGTAGTTAGAAATGTGTAACAAAGCTGGCAGTAACTCTTTCTTCGTGGAAAGAATATTGTGTTTACCAGCAGAAATCAATGTGGCTGAAAATCATCCTTTGAAGAAGTCTTGTTCAGTAAAAGCACAACTTTATCAATGCACAGAGACTTCTTATCAGAATGGTCCATGTTGCTGTTAGAACTTGATCTGCAGCACATTGTAGTCTGACATGCAGCCCTGATGGGCTTCTGGAGACTTATGTTAAATGCTACTGTAATGCTTCCAAAGAGAAGTTTTAATGTGTTTCCAGTACACTTAACTAGTAGAAGCATTAGCACTTTGGAAGGATCCTTTGCTCTTTAGCAACCTATATACTAAACACCATTTGTCATGTATGAGAGGGAATAGAAACTCAAGGGATTAAATGAAAGACCTTGATACAGCAATTTCTGATCTCTAGCACTGACTCTTATGATGAGACATTCATGTTATTTAGTGTGACTTTTCTTTGTGGGTTTCGTGCTAGTTTTTATTTGTTTTGTCTGGCAATAAAACTGTGTTGAATATTAATATGGACTCAGGACTGAGTATGACACAATTGGTAAGACTTCTGCGATGGTTATATTGGTGCTTCCATGATGCTGAAACAAGTCTCACAAAACCAGTGGTTTTGAACATGAAATAAGTATGTTATGTTATTAGAAATGTGCAAAAATGTATGAGAAAAAGCCATCTCTGGCTCTTAGGTGTGAGAATTACCATTTGTGTAATGTGCTGGCAAAAAATTCCAGTGTATTTAATTTCATTTTGAAAAAGGTTAGATAAGTGCTACAGGGGACATGTTCACGTCTGGCAAACAAAAGAGGATGGAATTATTTGTCACATGTTGGAAGTCTAAGGAATATCTTTTAATTAACAAAACAGAAAAGCATTGTCCTTCGTAGTGTAGTGAACTTCTAGGCTGTTAGAAGCTCTTAGAAAGCTGAAGGGCTTTCTTTGAAATAGTTTTAAAGTAACCTTTTGGAGTAATAAACTTTTAGTAGATCTTAAAGAACTTTCCTTACTGACTTTTACTTTGTAAAAGCTTTTTTTAAACTTTGTATAAGCCACAGCTTGTGCACTGTTGTGTGTGTATGGTATAATTGTGTGTTATTTGGACAAAGGATGAGGTTCTCATCTCTGCATTATGCATTTGCTTTGTCTAGCACCTTATGGTATCAGAGAAGCTACTCGCAGAACAGGTTCACTGAAGGAAGCAGTTAAGTCAGTTGAAAGAAGGTAGGTGAGCTGTCTCGTCTGTTGTAGACTATAGATGTCTTAATGGAAATCTAGTCACGGTTTTAAAATCTTTATTACTTCTTGGTTGGCCCTCAACAGTTAAAAAAATGGTAGCATTTTAATTAGAGAAGAAAAGCCCCTTCTGCTCTGTTTGCAAAACCGGTATGTTACTTCCTGAAATCATGTTGGTTTTGTTCTCCGTGCTTATCATTTATGTGTGTTCAGATTTTGAATCCTATTCCTTGCCTCTGTGAGCCACCAATACCTTGTATTTCCTGTTCCCAGAAAGCTCTCTTCAGTCTCTGCAGGCTGCAAAATCAGTCTAAAATTAGAATATCCGTATTTTACCTCAACCTCTTCTCTTTTGGATTTCCACTGCTCTTTTCAGAGATAGGTCATGGCTTCTCCACTGCCTGGCTTTCATTGTCTTCTGCGTTTTACTCTAGATTGTTCAGAAAAATGCTGTGCGAAACAACTATTCCCAGTGTACCTGTGATTCTTTGACTGAGGATGATAGTCTGAAGAGCCAGTTAGGGGAACTTGCAAAGTCGTATTCCTCGTGTTAGAAGTTGTATTTCTGGACTGTCACAGTTAGTTTTGCGAGTGTTGGATAGTGCTTTTGTGGTCTGGATTTGTTTTTGGTTTTGTTAGTTTTTTGGGTTTTTTTTTAGTTATTACTTTAAGAAATGTAGGTTTTACCGTTGCTTTTATGTTTGTTTACACTTGTACATTTTTTTGTTTAGCGCAGAAAATCACATCTTCGTTTCATCCAATTATCATCTAAGTGACATCTTTTTTGACCTGTTGAAGTTTGCTGCAGAACATCTGGTGATGGGAGGAAGATTAGTTTACTGGCTGCCGATATACAGGCCTGAGTATGTACTGTTGGTTTCTGTTGTGTTGTATGTCAGAATGGATGCTGCACTCTCACTTCGTTTCTTTTGGGACACATAGTACCAGCAATCAAGAGTAAGGCCCAGACTTTGTATTTTAAAACTTCGTGTGAGGAAAACTAGATCTTGAAGTAAGGTTTTTGAATGGTGACAATTCCTGACTATTTACCAAACAGAAAAAGCCTTAGCATGTCATTGCAAATGGACATCCAGTGAGTTGAGGTTTAAGCTTAGAAAGTTAAACTTTCAAGGTATATATTATTATGTGTTTCTTTGGAGTAATTGATAGAGATGTGTGGCAAGGTCCTGTAAAAAACATTCTTGGTTCTTTGGAGTTTGGCACTACTAATTTAGCTTTCTTCTGAGAAATAAAAGTCCATTGAGCAAGAGATGGTAGTGAGAGGCAGGAATCATAAGGGAACAGCCCTGTTAAGGACGAGAGAGGCCAGCAGAGACTGCAGGATCTTGTCTGCTCAGTAGTGCAGCCTGGGTTCAGCACTGAGTTTAAAAGGAAAGACAGCTGTTTGCATACCTTACTTCAGCATCTCTTAGATAAGGTTTGAGGGTTTTTTTAGTTTTGGTTTGGGTTTTTTTTAAACTATTTCATTGTAAAGTGAGGAGTTCTGTAGGTTTTTCAAAGTATTTTCCAGATACAGATGTGCTCTGAAGGTAGTTTTTAAATGTCAATGTTTCTATGTACAGTCAAACTATACCGATGAATAAAGTGGTGGTTGTCCCTGATTTCACCATGGAAGTGGCTTGTGACAGTCCTCTATATCCTATATATTACATGCTTTAAAAATTTGGAAATCAAATGAAGCCATCTCTTTTACATGCTGCTGTAACAGGATAGCGCAGTTAGCAGTTTGCATTTTTTAATAAATGATAGAATTAATATCTTTAGGCTTTTTTCATTGTGAGACAATTAAAAAACAAAGCAATGAATGCCATTAACAGTATTATAGCTAGTTCTTCAAAATGTCTGTCTATACATGCTTAACCCCAACAGACTGTGTGTAATTGTGAATTCTAAGATTTCCATGCCAGTAAAAACTGATTGGATTTACTGAATTTATTCTGTTCATCAAGATACCAGAATTCTTCTATCTGCTCATTGAACTTTGATAAAAAACATGTTTCCTCACTACAGCTGTGGAAAGTGTTTTACTTTAGATAACTTGGGAACTGCACATTCAGGATCTGCTTTAGTTGCTGTTTTGGGGAGGTCTAGTTAAGTTGCCTCGTAAAAAGTGAATTTGTATATCCTACTGTGAATTGAAACGCTGAAGTCACTATATTAGCACGGAATATTAGTACAATCACTTTATTTTCAGCTGTAATGCTGAACAAGGGAACAGACGTTAAAACAAGTATGTAGGAGGAAGAGAAGATACTTTCTACTAACATGTTGTATTATCAAATATCCCTTGGCAACACCTGCCTTCAATTTTATTTGTTGAAATCCTTGTGTATTACCTTAAATTAAAGCCAAAACTTGATTTAAATGGATGTCTGTTAAAACCACTGCTTCTGTATTCCTTACTTGATAAGGTTCTTAGTTTTACCTGAAAGAATGTAGAAATACATGCGTTAATGCTAACAGACAAGGCTTTTTAACAAACTGATAATGATCTCTCCTTCTGCAAGATAGCATCTCACTCCAAAGTTTACTCTTTCAATCTGACATTGAAGTCATTGTTGAGTTGGAATTCTTTTGATTCCTTGGCAGTCAGTCTTTTATATGGTTTTATATTTATAAACTTTATATATAAACCTTATTATATATATATAAAAATTTAAAATGATGTGGCAGAGTGCCTACCTTTGTAGGAGGAAGAGAGGGTTTGGTGATACTGGATGCATCGAAAGTCTTGTGTAATAGAAAGAGCAGTTGAGAATTAATTTTATTCACCTTTGTCAGAAGCATGTTCTAACTTCAGCTAGCGGAAGTAGCAACTTGATTCCACATGAGAAGTGATTAAAAGGTTGTTTTGCAGTCTGGAAGTTTTGGAGCAAACAAAGAGGCAGTACTGTTTGGGTTATTTTTTTCTTATTTACAAATCTGTGTTTGGTATTGAGTTACTTGTTTAACAGCTCACTGTTATCTCAAGAAATGCCAAGTTTTCCATCAGCACCTAGAGTGATCCTATTT